TCCTGCAGTTATCCAATTAAGATTGCGTGAGAAGTTTCATGGAATGAAACAACAATAGACAGCATCAAAGCAATACTTGAATCTGCATAAAACCTATCGTAGAACCATGATTCAGTTCCCCTCAAACGGCCACCATTTTAAAGCTTGACTTCACTCAATGGTATAGCGATTCTCAACACAAGGTAACAAAAACGCTTGCAAAAGGGGCGGACGCCGACGCCTCTGAGTTTCGAGCGCAGGAAATTTGAAAATCAGTTGCTTCTCAGCCGTGGAGGGTAGTGTGTGGGTTTTTTTTCCTAGTTTTTGTTCATATCTTTTCTTTTCCAAGCAGAAGGTATCAGCTGACATATGGCAAATAGAAACGAATGGTCCATTTGCTCGTATGTTTGTAGATAATTCGCCGTTCCATTCTTCGCAGTTTACGCAGCTCATTGTATTCGAGATAGACTACTAAACACCTGTTTAGGTAGTCAGCTTGTACATTCTGCCTGAAAAAGAGAAGAAGCTAGAGAAAAATATAGAAATACCCTCCATGGTTAAAGAAACAGCTGGTTTTCGATCGATAGAGGCATCGGCGCGCCCTTTGTCTGCAAGTGTTTTTGTTATCTTATGTTAGGAATCGACTATACTCTCGAGTTGTCCTTTGAAAATCGTTGAAGCCTATATGTATAAAGCACAGAAATCACTATAATTTGTCACGAACAGATGTGCCCACGAAACTATGCAGTTGTGAATGAGTGTGCTGCTCCTATGTGTAAAGCAAGCCACTTTAGCCTATAGCTTGCAACAGGCATAATCGTGCTCCAGTTCAAAATCAGCGTCGCAACCGCAATAAACGCTGCACGGTTGAATGTAATAGGAAACTATGCCATTAGCGTTATCTCTTTTCTTGTGTTATGATATCTGTGATTATCGTGTATAAAACTAGCAAAGTTTTCGCGCAATCGAAATACGATTTCTAGTACTAAAACAGCTTCCCGTAACGTGTTTTTAGAACTGAGTTGATGTACATGTTGGATATGTTAGAGTTTACTCCCCGCACCAGCCAAATATCAATAAATTAAAGCGAAATCTTTTGCTAGATTTTGGCCATTACTGCAGTTAATGTAGGCTTCTCATCTCAGTTTCCCAGTTTTCAACTTACCATGGAGGGTGTGCCGCCGAATAATGAGTTTATTTTTGCAATGCTTATCGGTGCTGTTTCTTATGTCGTTGGCGCTTCATAGTATAAATTGTTCGATGCAACAACTTTCTCAAAAAAGGTTCTTTCCCACTCTGGTCAGTCACAATAAATGTCACGGAGTCTCATGATTCTCTTATATTGACGGAATTCCTCGTAATCAGCAAAAAAGTTAATTACAAATGTTAGCAGTGAAAGGTTTAGTTGAAGCGGCGGTTCAGAGGGCAACGTGTGCTGTTAAATGCAGCTTGAAATGCTGATTTCAAAACTATCTTCCTTATTTGTTAAATGAAGAGTTTTTGGATATTTTTCTACCAAAAATGGCTTACAGAACATGAGAAATTTTCAGATGTTTAATTTTGAAACAAAGCAGCAACACGAAAGTTGGATACTGTTCATTGAGGCTCATTTCAAACAAATTAATCTCTTGTGTTGTAATTTCACGTTGAAATTGATCGACACGTGGAACAGGAGGGTTTATGCTGAGTGGCGCGATTTTGTCATCAAGGCCTCCCCGAACAGGATGCTTCCGACAGAAAATTCCTAATTCCTTCCAGAAGAACCGTTTGAAAGATAGGGAAGGCAGATTTGCAATCAATGTTTTATGCTGCATCTACTAGTGTGTATTCCTGTCTAATTTGTCGTTTCAAGTAAATGCCATTCCTGAATAGATGAGTGATACCCCATCGTCACTAAGCCATTCTTTCAGTGCACCTTTGTTCAGGCTTTTGTCTTCTCATTTTAGTAGTTTCCTATGAACTTAGTATTTTCCCCATGTGATCACATCAGCTTCATCGTATGTGCATCAGCAGGTGAAATGATGAAAGATGGAATAATAATAATTTCTTTGAAATGCGTTTTCTTTCATACTTTTCTAAATGTTCTTCCATTTGAGGTAAAGAGGTATAGTCTATCCTCATGTCTCCCAACTTGACATAAATACTTGACTATGCGCTATAAGCGCAAAAAATTCTCTTTGTGAGTGAACATTAACTAAAGACCAAATTTCAAGCAGTATCTAAATTAGCCCATCCTTCACAGCTAGACTCCTGTATTGGAGAAATGCGAACAAATGGAACTTCGACGCAATACTCAAATACTTTCTAAGTTAGGCATTTTGTTCATAATTGGATGTACTGACTGAAGATCTACAGGCACAGGAGCAGCTAGGGGGCCTCTGTGGACGCGGCGACAGGCCAATGGTCACTAGACGACCAGCACGCATTAGCTGCTGATCTGATGGCACACAGTTGCTCTTGCTGTTGATGCGTCCATAGTATTGCACTTAGCCTGTTTCCGTGCAATTGTCTGCAATTTGCTCTGTATAAACTATCAGTTGCGTTAGTGCTTTATCTATCTTCAACGAATTTTTGCATTAAATCTTTCTTTTTTTTCAACCGATATACGAAGGAGTGCAATACATACCACTTCACTCGACGTCAAAGACTCAAAACAACAAGAAAATTTTAGTTATGTCGCGCGCAATTACATTTGTTACGGGAAACGCTGGCAAATTGGCTGAAGTGAAAGCGATACTATCACCGTTTGAGGTTGGTAATCTTGGAAGTCTTATGAATATCTTTCCTTCAGATGACGTCTTCTGGCGGCTATCCGAAGGTGCAACTGATCTTCCCTAAGCACTGCACTCTCGAGAATTTGTCGCTTTTCTCTGGATTTAAGGCAACGATTCCACATCTGCTCAATCCGCAAGCCAAGGAGAGGTACAAAGTGGTTGAACTTCCGACTGCCGCTCCAACGAAGGGTCAAAAGTTAACAAGTGCAATTCTAGCAGCATCTCGGCGGAAGTTAGGAGCGAAGTTGTTTACTGTGAAGACAGTCCCTCGAGCGTTGTCGAAATCTGCGCAAAAAATGTGCAGTACGTCTGATGGTCATTACCTAGATAGGAAGAGAAACTGCCGGAATAGCAACGGTTCTAGAGCTAGTCGAAATATTCCAGCAGGGTTTCGCATGTCAACGATTCATCGTCACCAGCGAAAAATGCAGTATGCGAACGCAATTTCTGCTTGGGATCGCGTCAAACGTTTGGAGGCGGCCGAAAGAAACCCTTGTCTGCGTAAAGATACAGTATCCTGCATAATGCAGCGATCTCCAAAAAGTGTATCACCTCCGCAGTGGTCCAGTCATGATGAGCACTTGATCGTATCGCATGG